TCTTTCTCCTCTGATCATTCCCCCTCTGACTCATAAATCTCAATCTACCAAGAAATGAGTGTGTAGCTCTCACAAAGCTTAACATGCACCTAGAAGGGAGGCACAATTAAAAGAAGAGAGAAGAGAGACATTCCCTTAATGAACAGAACACTTTTCACGTCTTATTCATCCTAATGAGTATCAATAAATAACAGGAATAAGCAACAGGTTTGAATAGAACATAGATGAATTTAAGTTTAATGCAAGTAAAGTGCCTGGATTGAGAAAGATGTTTAGAAGGGTGTTTTTCAGAGAGACTGCTTACATTTTAGTGTTTAGTGAGACCTGGATCTGCTGTAGATGGATATAAAAACCAATGAGAAATTGTTTTTCATATTTCCAGCTTTGCACAGTCTTTTTTTTTTAACAAGTTAGGGCAAGTAAGACTCGTCTCTCATTTTTGTGTGTTTTTTTTAAAAAACAAGAAGAAAATGCAAATAAAAAAGGCAATAAACAAATACAGAGACCCAGGAGGGAGGGAGGACAGGCTTTATTCTACCCCACGACTAGCCCTCAACTGTTCTTCTGCAGTCATGGTCACAGCTCTCCCACACAGCTATCACCTCTGTCCTGTAGACCAAGTGGCTGGTAGCTGGCATGAGCAAGAGTTTACATCACCCATGACCAAACCAGAAATACAAGAATATTAGCTGCCAGTGTGATTTAAGACTCCCAAAGCAGAACAGAAGCAGATAAGGAAAGCAAAGCAAACTCTCCTTGGAAAGATAAAGAAACTTTGCAGCTGACGTAGGAAAAGCAGCTATTAAGGTAAGCAGGGATGTTACTAGCCTCAAGCTAAAAGCTGGAGATATTTTGAAAGGTGACAGAAATTAAGAACCCGTGCAAGCCTTGAGCGTAAAAATACTCTGACCCTGAAGGAACTGAACCTGCCTTTCTGGTTCCCAGGACATGTGGCCTTGGTAAGAGACAATATATATCACTTCCTAGTTCTGCATAGCTACACAGGTATCCAGCAAGGCTTCTCTGGTACAGGATGGAGGGTCTTTGCCTCATCTACTGACTGTTCAGCTGCCTGCTACGCCAATTTATCACTTCGCAAACACTCCCGCCCCAAGCCCCCATGTGCTAGATGGAGCCAGCTGGACTACTCAGCAATTCCAGACCAACTTTAGCTGTCACACAGGCCCTGAACCGGGATGGGAGATTGCACTGAACATTTTGTCTCAGGTGAGCATCTCCATTCTTCCCTGGATGTCTCAGACACCTTGTACCATGGGATCTCTCCTGCCACAAGATGCAGCATGGCCATTACATCCCATAAGCACCGTCATATACTCTAGTAGAGTGTTTCAGGTCTCCAGACTCAAAACAACACTCCACCTCTCCCGTACATCAAAAAAACAAATGAATCTGGGAGATATCACGACATCTTGGACACATCAAATTTTCAGCTGGAGCAGTGCCACCCTGGTGACTTGGTTGACTCCAGGCAGCAGTCTGGGGACAAATGCAGCACTTTCTCTTGTATCCTCCAACATAAAGCGCTTCCACAAACTTCTAGGTGGTATTTGGAGAACAGCACCCAAACCTGTCTCTTCTTTCTCTGCTCCCCCTGGCAGGTGCCAGCCCAGCATTATCAAAATGCCTGCTTGGGTAGTGCTGCCAGCGAGCAGCACATGGAAGCTAAAGCAAGCTGTAAACTTATTACACAGTCTCCTTAAGAGCTCATTAATTACCACTGTTAATTCTCACCAATACTGATAGCACCACTGCTCATTACAGGGACCTAGCAGATCAAAAAGCAGATCTAGGAAGAGAGTTTCTGAGTAACAGACTTCAGTGTTTGCGACTACTGACATCTCCAGCCAACATCCAGATCACACAGCCCTGACAAGGCCATACGCCCACCATCTAATATTCCTGAGCATCAATCCACAGCCACTGCCAACGATTGTACGTGCATGGATGCTGATACGTGCACAGCTGTTAAAAAAGAACGTGATCACAGCTCCTGTAATTGTGAACTTACCTATTTATGCAAAGAAAGATAGCGGATATAGCAGATTTGTTGCCTAAAGTGTGGGCCAAGAAGCTCATCACTTCTATCTAATTATTTTTTTTCCTTATCAAAAGGGGGATAATCTGCCATTCTCTCTATTCCACTGTATTTCAAATGTAAACTCAAATTGAGGCCTCCCCTGCCTTTACTAGACAAATAGACTAAATGCCAGTGCGAATGGATTTTAAAAATCTGGATTTTAAGCACTACAGTAGTATAACTAGTCAAGACACAAAATTACTTATAGTTGCTCACTCAGTGCGATACTGCAAACAAGAAGATACTACAAACTCTTCCAATTCTCTCTTTAGAAAGGTATTCAACCTTGCTTAGACCAATCTTGAGCTTGTTCTTGGTATCTTCAGAAAAGAGATACTAAAAAAAATTGTGTAAGAAAATCAAGACAATCAGAATACTTTAATTATGGAGAGATCATGCACTATATTTATTTGGGTGTAGAGAGGGGGTTGTTTTCGTTTGGTTTTTGCTTTACATCTTAAAGATGGATTACTACTGCAGGAAAGGTATGATTGAAATGATTGAAATAATCACATTCCTCCTTTTATGTTTAAATGCATTTCAAGCTCACATCTAGAAGCTGAATAAAATCAAATATAGATCTCTTCCTAATTTTCCAAGCTACAGAACAATAAGTACTGCACAGTAGAAAACAAGATCTAATACAAGAGGTGGCAACTGGGATTTCATGCTGCTTATATGTATTCGCATAAAAAGATAGGCAATCACAAGGAAGTGTGACTCATTTGACACTGGAGAGACATTTTCTTTTTAACTATGCATGAAAGGGATAGTATTGCCATACACTGCTTTAACAGCAGTGAATCAGAAGTAGTAAGGGAGTCGCTGCATTTTACGGTTTGTAACAGTCACGTTCGAAAACAAGGCCTGGTTCTTCTCTCTGTAAAATCAGTTTGTACAAGCCCCACATTGCCCCACACACCTCCTGAGATTCAGCCACCAGATTCCTAATTAAGGCATGCTGGACTAGACAACTTGTAAAGCCCATTTCATTCCCCAGAAGGCAAGAGGGTATCAAGATCTTCCACTAGCGTCTAGTAAACAAGAAACAAGGAAAGCCTATGCTTGGCAGGCAATCGCTGGCACCCAGACACACCAGCCAAACTCTGTCAAGGAAGCACTTGAAGATCATTACCCACAGAAGACCCTGATGAATCAAACATGCAACCCATCGTACAAAAGATGCTACTTCCTCCAAAGCCCCAGTTTGCACCATAATATCAACAAGATCCCAAAACGAATAAAAACACCAGTGTTTTTATTTTCTCACGTCTTTAGACAGTAATTGCAATGTACTCTCTTATCTTCCGCTCCTCTGTGTAGCTCTTAAACACATATGGGTCTTCCTTTCTTTATAAAACTAGACAGTTACAATTTATTTTGTAACAACAATTTGTTTGTATTTCCATCTATAAAAGCCCCCCAAAATGCCATGTTTTACAGTAATTTCTATACTGATGAAATAACAAAGGTTCTGTAATGTTTATAAAGCCATTTAAACTACATTAGCGAAACTATTTTGCTAAATTACATTTTCCAACTCAGCAGTCCTTATTATGGCGTATACAAGCTCACTTCTTCCAAGAGTCACCCCTACTTACATAATCAAATCACGCCATTTGAAACACTGTGACATTATTTTGTCATATAAAATGGTTGAAATTATCTTGATGATGGCAACGTAAGGATTGCTGCTACCCAGAATTCGTTATGAGAAGTGAAAGCTGAAAAAGAGTTAGATCTCTTGAAATTACAGACTTTAAATATCAGACAAGGTGTTTAAAAGCCATTAAATACCATGGGTCATCATAAAAGGAGGATCCAGATCCTAAAACACTTGTCCTGAATAATTGCAATGGAAATATTAAAGAATGTAAATGCATTATGGAATTACAGGATTTATTTAGATAGACTGACATAAACTCACTTTATGGTAATATGTTTTTAGATGTCAAGCAGTATAAACAAGATATCTGAAATTACTACCTAATATAATGACTTAAATAAGTACCTTCAAAATAATGAATATATGATGACTGAAATAAGTTTGACAGACTAAGGTATAATCAAAATCACTGTACTCAGAGAAATTTATCCAAAGCAAAAAAAAACTTTATGCTTGCACACATGTGTGTTTAATATAAAAGTAGAGCATAATTTTTCAACAATAGAAAAAAAAACTCAAAAAACACTTGGAAAAATCAATCCTGCCACTCACTTCGCTTTTGCTGGGCACACCAATTCTCACATTTTGGTCAAAGATCCACTGCATGCACACGGCTTCTCTATTTTACCTCATTTTGAGAAAATTATTTTCAGAAAACATGCCTCCAAGAAACATCTGACAACTGTATGTCCACATGATGAAATAAGAGAGAGGAAAACCCAGCAACAGATAGATCACACACTTTACAACCGCAGCAATCACTCGCTTGCAAGCCCCTGGCCAGAATCCTTCTCCTTGACAAAATAAATTAATGCTAGACAGTTCTCAAGACATTACATCAACAGAAAAAGGTCTTGCTCTCGCTTGCATCAATAAAGCCCATCATCTGACCTAAAGCACAAGTCTTGATCAGTAAACCACTTTCAAATGAAAGAATACCAACCTTCAAAGACACCTTCATATAATGAGCTGTCTTTGTTGACCATTTTGATTAGTTACAGAATTTATACCTGTCTAGTCCATAATCTTTTAAGAAGGCTAATGAGGTCTGAGAAGTGAAAGACGAGTCCAGTCAGTATTATTTATGGACCTCTTTTTTCTCTCTTGTTCAGTAGAAAGATACGCAGCATTGCTGAATCCTTCAGTATCGATTCCCCCACCAAACCCACACTGCAGACTTAATCTCAAAAAGATATCCTTTCAAGGATAAACAAAGTAAACACATATCCGTCAGACCTGAAAGATGTTTTCACCAACGCCTCAGGACTGTCCACTGGTGGTAGTTCATCCGCTAAGATTTCTTCAGGAGGTCTAGGGTCACTGACAATGGTTGGCTTTGGCCTTTCCTTGAGGTTGCCGGTCAGCCCACCGATAATGGTGTTCCACAAGCAGTTTTGTGATTTAGACCCTGTAAAAACAGACAGTGCGAGGGAAAATAAATTCATAGGCCTAGCGTCCAGTCTCTCAGCAGTCTGGAAAACACAGATGATTTGTTATCTTTTTACCTTTGCATCACCACAGTTTGGGATTAAGCCTGAACACCTGAAATAAAACTCCAAGTGGAAACAAGCACTAATGTTCAGGTCATTCCAAATCCAAGACTGTAATGCTTCCCATAAAAGGATTTGATTACAGAACATGGAGTTTCCACATCTCAGTAAAAACCATCCTCTCCACATTATACTTAGATTATAGCTTAGCATGCATTGATGTGGCTGTATTTTAAGCCAAAGAACTAACCAAAAACCAAAGTACCAAATCAATACAGTATTAATCGTTGACTTTCTCAGGCTAAAGTTAAGAGTGGTTGAATTATACATTAAAGATATCACTGAAGGACTAGTATCAGAAAACATTTCTGTCGAAACTTCAACTTTTCTCAGTAGACATTCAAATGCCAAAATATTTATATGGATGATCTTTTTACATTTTTTTAGAAGTGTCACCAGGTGTCTCTTGCTTGTCATTCAGAGAACCCATACTCATCTGTAAGTCTAGTTCCACTGACAAAGTACAATTAGCATCCTTCAGTCAGCTCTCCTCCCCGCCTTTGGAGAAGAGAATATGTGACTTACATTTCATAAAGTTTAAGTATCCATTTCATATTTTCAAAAATTTCCAAATGGCTTCTGAATAAATTAGGCACTTCTGAAAATCCCAGTGATACTCCCATACTGAACACCTGTGTCACATTCTAACTTTCAATTATTATAAATATACATGAGTGAGTTAGCAGATCCCAAGAAGAGCAGTTAAGTACTGAAATACTAATTATTTCAGTTAAGAGACTTCCCACAACAGAGGTGCAGCAAGCATTAATCTTACCGGATTCCAAAGTAATAAGACATACCAACTCTGCTGCTAGTCATTCTCCATGGGCTTTTTATCAATATGCAAAATGAAAAAAAAAATATTCTGACAAATGTCTAAAGTCAGCAACTGATTTTATAAGAGACTGTACAGGTAAAATTTTCAAATATCTTCCTGACATTCAGACTTAACTGTCCAGCAGAGACAATTAAGAAACAAAGAGTAGACCTAACACATATGCATTAAGGTTGAATTTTTGTTGCAGTACACACTAAATACATACGAGGAAACCAAATAGAAGAGCTGCTATCTCATGTCTCCTGGGAATATATCATGAGAAGCTACCCTGTTAGAAGCACCAATATCTGCTGCTACAGACAGGTGATGGCAGCCTTATTTTGCTGGTTGTCTTCAGTGTCTTGTTTTCACACAGCCTAAGTGGTTCAAAGACAGATCAGCAAGAATCCTCATCTATCTTCCCCATTCCAAAGTAATTTTCAGAGTATTTCCCAGCTAATCAGGAAAGCTCCATACTTGTAGGCTTCTCTGCTCTTAATTGTCAGCAGCTATTTAAGGTGCAAGGACCGTATTTACCCAGATATAGAAGTAGCCTTGTTGTCCTGTGCCAAGTTCTGTGCTATAATAGCTAGAAAAATTACTCCTCACACCAGGTAGTCCAAAGTAATGTCTACACAACAGCTGCAGAAATAAAAGCAACATCCATACATCTTTATTATTCAAGGACTTACAATGTTATGGCAATACCACTGTTTCTGTTCTTTAGACCACCATGCAAATTTCCCAAAATTTCTTACTTTTACTTGAATATGTAAGCATTTGTTTTCCCATTCTGTAAGGGGAAATATAAAGGATGTAAGAGTTTTAAATTATCTGACCATACAGACCACCTGTGATAGAGCCAAAACCACTGTGACTCCTTATAGTATGTTGAGAGGACCATTTCTTTCACAAAACTATAGCATACTTAGCACAGTTGAAACTAGAATTTTAAGGGTCTGTTAAGATACGGTCAACGAAGAAATATAAGCTGCCATCCAGCCATACATGCTGCACACTAAGACAGGAGAGCAGGACATCAACACTTGCAGGAGAAGCTGTGCACTATTAAAATCGTATGTTGTGGAAAAGAGGCTCTCTGAAGCCACTTTTATAATTTTGAGGTTTTCCCCTGCAATGACTCCAAGGAATCTGCTGAGCTTCCCAAACCACGATCTTCTCCCTCTTTCCTCAGCTCTACCCTTTCTTTTATTCCACAAGCCCTCCAGCTTGTCAGGCGCAGGGCAACTCCATAGTCCAGGAAAAAGACATATTAGCCTTTTTCTGCACTTACAAGTAGCTTGTTGTTTGCAATACCACTGAAAGCCAACAGTGACAGGTTAACTAACTGCCACTGAAAACCATATAATCACTCAAATCAAACCTTTTTTTTTTTTTTTTAAACAAGAACAGTGCAAAAAAAACCCCAAGTACTTGTTTCAGTATGTATAGTTGTTTTCTCTGTGTTCCCTAC